CATGATTACAATCAGATACAAGGACAAAGACTCCCAGGAAACCCCAAATCTAGGGAGTGGGAAGAGGAAGAGGACCCAGAGAAGAATACAGAACGGGACAGTGATACAGATGGAAGACAACACAAAAAGAAAAATAATGGAAGAAATGGATTAAAGAGTTTCAAGAAGGAGAGAGCAGTGGTCAGAATGTTAATTCTATTATGGTGAAAAAGAATATGAAAAAGAACATATGTATGTTCATGTATGACTGAAGCATTATGCTTTATACTTGAAATTGACACAACATTGTTAATTGATTATACTTCAATAATAAAAAATATATACATAAAGAATATTAGTTCTATGTAGAAGTAAAATAAAGGCTGAGAACTATTCATTGGCTTTGGCCATTAGGAGTTCATTTATGTCCTTCATAAGAAAAATTTAATTAGTATGATAAGGAGGAACCCTAATTTTAATGGACTGTAAAGGTAATGAAAGATGATGATATAAAGACATATACTCTCTCAAGAGTTGGGGATCTAGTCCCACCGTGGGGATGTTGTAATAATCGTCATGATACTTGGGTCTTTGTAAAGCCATATGAAGTAGGACTGTTATTCCCCTTACATTACAGGCGAGACTCAAGGTCATACAAGGGGCAGATTTGGATCTTAACACCCATGCTTGCCTGACATCAGAATCAGAAAGAAACCCTAGGTAGTAGATCACAATGCCAGTATTTTACAATAGTTTGTTTTAGGGCAATTCCCAAAGTAACAGATTCTCACAATAAGAAGGAATTTGAACTCTGTTCCACTTCTTGATTCCACTTCTGTGGTTCCTTCTTAGATCCTTAAAGCCAGAGTATGTCTCTACCCCATCTTCTCATCATTCTTTATTTATATTTTGTTTTTGAATCATGTCTCCCTCTTCTGGTAATAGACTTCTGATTTTATTTTTTTTTTTTCTCTGAGGAATCACCCATTCTCTCAAGCTCGGCTCACTTGCTTTGGCAAGTGCTGACTCCATCCTTGTGTCTAGGGCTGGGCAACGCACTCAGTCCTGACCAGTTAGACCATGGCATCCCTCTGGCCACTGTGATAAGTTTAAGGATAAGCTTGCGAACAAATTCAAGCCCCTGAGAATCACATACAGGACTTAGGTCGTACTGCTATGGGGAAGAAGCCCTATTTTCTGTTATATTTGAATCTTGGAAGATACAGAACTAGAGCTCTGGGAAGCTATCTTCCCTTCACATAGAATCTGAGAGTACAGCTTACACTTGGAAGAGCAGATCCAGAAGGTGGAGAGAGTTGAGTCCCAGTGAGCCCTTGGATCAAGCCCCATTTGAGGCCAGCACCTTGGTACTTTTCATTACATGAGCTAATAATTTTTGTTTGTTTAAGTCAGTTTGAATGGGCTTTTCTCCCACTTGTTACCAAGAAAGACCCAGTATGTAGCTTATCACTGCCTGTATGGTGTTTTCTCCCCCAGTAGAAGTTAGCCACAGGGTGTGTGAATCCTTCCACACTTCTTTTTGTGCTCCACCCCCACCAATGCCTAGGATTTTTAAAGTAGTAAGTACTTAAATGCCTGAAGAGTTCAACAGAATTGAATGTGGGCTGATTCTTCCAACAGTCCCTAAAAGTTGCTCCAGAAAAGCTTCCTGTCTATAAGCTTGCTCACTGTCCCTTTTGTGTCTTAATCACAAAAGTAATCTACAAAAGAAGTTTCAAATATTTGATCTTTCTGTTTGTTTGATTTCATGTTAAGCTGGAATTTAGTGTAAATATGTACTTGGAATGTCACTGCACGCTCCAACGAAACAGCTTGCAAGATGCAGAGTGGGCTGCTCTCTCGGTGGCTCAATAAAATGAAATGCTCATTTTCTGTCCTTTGTGAAAAACTAGTTTTTCTCTGGGGCTTGGCTCCTTTCACACAAAGAAACTGATATCCTCTCAAATAAAAAAGGGCCAGAGAAATAGGATGGCTTTCTGTTTATTACTGTGAAAACTTGGCAGCAGTCCTGTGCCCAAATGGCCATAGCTGTTGCTGTTGTGCACAGTTTAGGAACGCTGCTCTTTCAGGCTGGCTGGGCTCATTAAACAAGAAAGCTACGGACAGAAAGAAGTACTTCCAGAACACACTGAGGAACACCATTAAAGGATGTGTCATAGCAATGGACAGTTGAAAAATCCTGATTTGCTTGTATTAACAAATGCTGAGATTTTTGTTTCCTGCTGAAATGGTTGGGAGAGTGCTCTATGCCATATCTTTAAGACAAAAACCAGAAACACTAGAGGAAATATTGCAAGTTGATCATAATACGATTCCAATTCATCATAACTATAATTGTAGCTGACCCTTACTGAGTACTCATTATGTGCCAGACACTTAACTTGCTCAAGGTCACATAGGTTGTAATGCAAGAGCTAGAACTCAGACCAGGTAGTATTGCTTCAGAGCTTCTGTTGATAACCATCAGGCTTTATTGTTTTTCAGACTATTTGCACAAATAAGCTGATAAGCTTGTGGGAATATGGGAATGTGACCTTTGGGGAGTCATCTTGCAACATCTATTAAAATTTGAATTACACATACCTTTGACCTAACAATCTAGGAACATGTTCTAGACAAGAAATAAACTGTGAACTAGAGAAGAAATAAACTGTGAACTAATCATCTTTGACAGGTATATTTTGAATGAATTTGTTGACCTAGAGGTATATCCATGATGGATCATTAAATGGGAAAAGCAAAGAACGGAGACCTGTATGTAGTGTGATTGATTTGTATAAAACAAGGATCAAAGAATATCTATATTTGTATGTAGTTTCATGAGAACTGAGTGGCAATAGGATACAGCAGGCTGTTAAGTATTCAGGGGGTGGGGGAAAACGGACACAAGGAAAGGCGAGAAAACAAATACTTAAAAACAACTTGGAACAATAAGCATAGTATAATGTCAGGCTAAAATGTCCAATATGAAAGTCCATATGAGTGTTACTGCAAATATGTAATACTTGAGTAAGCATTTAGGGAAGAACTAGATGGTGACAAAGACAAGTGTTATATCAAACATTAATCTGCTTAAATAATTGTGTGGAAAAATTTTTTCTTGGATTTTGTTTATTTTCAAAGATAGATTTTTATAATAAAGCATCACTAATGGGAAGAGGGGAAAGGATTTAAACCTTTTTAGGAGAGGAACAAGTCTGGAACCCAATGGTAAAATTAAGATGAAATTGAATAGTGTGGCCAACAGGGTGCAATGCGAACACGGGCCATGGGGGCTGTGGTGGAGGCGGCACCGCCGAGCGTCACGGGCTGGGAGCCCACGAGGAAGCAGTTAAGGCAGCACTGAGCTGATATGGGACTAGATGCTGTTGCCACCTTTGCCCACATCCTTTTTCTTGGTGGGGGGAGGTGGTTAGGTTTATTTATTTATTTCCCATGTTCTTGATTTGTGACTTGTTTAGCCTCAAATCACAGCTTCTTGTTCACTCAACTAGTGTTTGCTGAGTGCCTACTGTGTGCCAGGCCAGATGCCTGGTACCTATTCTGTGGTAAGCTTGCTTCTGTCACAGAGGATAAAACAACTGTCTCCTTCCTCCCCCAAATCTTATCTGAGTATATCTGCCTTCCCCCTCAGCAGAAGAGAAAGGGAACGCTTTTTCTTATATTGGGGTGGGGGTAGGCAGTAGGCTTTTCACTGGGATCCATGTTTTACTCATAATGGCCCTCTTGAATATCCATGACCCACCATGGCAACATGAGGCTCTCCATAACCTGACCTATTTGATCTGTCTCCTCTCCTACCACTTCCCACCCTCTATCTAGACCACCATCCCACATTTCTGAGCATCCCCTGGACATAGCATGCTTTTGTAAGCCTCTTTGCCTTTATAATTGCCAGTCACTTCGCCTGGAAAACCTCTACCCATCCTTTAAGAATCAACTCATGTATTACCTCTGAAGCCCTCAGTCACTTTCTTAAAGGATTTATTCCTCCTTTCCGGTCATCAGTACTGGTTGTTGCTGGTCCTTGAGGTCTAGAATAAGTTCAAGAAGTTGGAAATCTGTGAAATAAAGTTCCCATGTGACATTGAGACCCTAAAGACAATGAATCTTATCTGGTTCAGAGCAGATGTGAAAAATCACCTTAGAGGTAGGAAAATTCCCAATCCTATAGGATTTGACTGCAACTTGATTGAAAGAAAAAAGTCACAACTCTAAGAGAGATTTTTTTTTCAGTTACAAAGCACAGAAAAAGAGTCTTGAGAAGCAAATGTATTTCCCATCCCAGCATTGCCCTAGAGGGAGATACTTATTGCTGGACATACAATTTGAGTTATTTCCAGGTCTAATGACAAGGGGGTCCCTACTATGCTGATGGACACAGGAAGTTATCAATTTCCAGTCCCATCAGCAAGACCATCATTATTGTGAGAAAGATACGACAGAATATCTTAGCCGGGCCCACTAAGCAATATTATAATTACAGCCTTGTTACATAGCTTAATAACAAGGAGCAAATGCATCCTTCAATATAATATTGATATTCCAATCTATTTGACAGTTTTAGTTCTCACTGAAAAATTGTTAAATAATCATTCTGGTGTCTGTTTTTGGTCTCCTGTGCACTTTATTTATCTTGAGTCATGGGCAGGCCCTTATCATCCCTGAGCACTGAACTCATAGAGTGTTTGTACTGACAAAGCAGAGGGAGAGGTCTTGGAGTTTGGTGGTCATCAAGACACAGGCCAGTGGTTCTCAGCCTTTACTCCACAGCACCCATGGTGAACGGTGTCCGTGTGAACGGTTCCCCTTGGTAGTCCAACGCTTAGTGACTTCCCACTGTGCTGGCTCTAATTCCGTTTCTTTCTTTTCTACTTGAGAAAGCATATCAGAATTCAAGTGAGTACCAGACGGCTGTGCAGTTGCCATGGAAACCTTGAATCTGCTCTAATTTTTTTTAACGTAAATGACTCTTTCTCTCTCTCTCTCTTTTTTTTCAGCAGCCCCACCCTGGTCTGTCTAGTTTTGAGGATGCAGTCTATAAAGGCCTTTAGTAGGTAAGTGGCATGATTATATTTGTATTTTAGGAATACAAAATGGCAGCTATGTAGAATGCTACTGCAGTATTGAGCAAGAGCTAATGATGATCTAAATCATGGTTGTGGCAGTGAGGATGGAGAAGAAAGGATAGATTTGAGAAATGTTTAGGAGTCGAATGAATAGAATGATGGGGTATTGGGGTGGAAGGACTGATAAGAGAGAGGGAGAAGTTATAGATAAAGTCAGTTTGCTTGAATGACTGGGGAAATAGTAATACTACTAATAGAAAAAAGACCACAGGATAAGGAGCTCGTTGGGATGGGAGAGGACATATTTCACAATATATTCGCTAGGTCCGAGGTTCCCAAGGGAAATTCCAATGTCAAGCAAGGTGTCAAAAATACAAGTCTAGAGATTTTGATAGAAGTATCAATATAAGTTTAAAGGTAATTGGATTATAAGTGACCAAAGTCAAGGGAGTAGTGTACAAGGTGAAAAAGAAAAACAGGTGAAGGATTAAATCTGAGAATAGTAATACCTAAGGGCTGACCAATGAAGGAAGAAGATAGGTAAGAAATTTGAGAAGAGGGATGTTGCGACCAGGAGAATGGATTGTCATGGAAACCAAGAGAGGAGAAAATTCCAAAAAGAAGAGAGTGTGTGAGGATGTCAAATACCCCAGAGAAAACAGGAGAAACAATGAAAAATAGGCATTGGCCTTGGCAATAAGGAAGTCATTGAAGATTTTTAAAAGAATATGCAGAGTGTGTGGAGCATGGGCCCTGGGGTGCAGTGGGTTCCAGTATGGACATGAAATAAGGAGTAAAAGGGAGCAGAGAGGAGTTTGGTGATGAAGGAAATAATTATAAATAGGATAGCTACTATTGATTGAATGCTTATTCTGTGCAGGCACAGTGCCTGACATATAACTTCTCATTTCATTTTACAAACTGTATACAATTATAATAGAAACACACTTTGGAAGTTAAGTGAGTTGCTGAAGATCATTCAACTAATAGGTTGTAAACAAACATGGTTCCAACCTAGTGCTGACTGACCCAAAGCCCAAGATCTTAACCACCACACTGAAGCCAGAAGATAAGGCAGGGCCAAAGGGTACTCTTGTTTATCTGGTTTTAAAATTATAGATGGAATGCTTCTTCTGAAACGATAGATTTCATTTTTAATAACGAAAATTACACACACACACACACACACACACAATCAGAAGGAAACAGTTTCCTTAATTGTCACTTGGATCTCATGTCTGGAATCGATAATTAACTACATCAGTTCTTTCAATATCAAAACTTTGCACTCAGCCAGCTGGCTGGTCAGTCATTAACACAAGCTGAGCACGCATCCTGCAGGATGGGGAACTTGCAGTGGAGTTACAACACCAGCTTTAGCCTTCTGGACCTTCGAGGAAAAGCAGCAGGGGAAATACAGAACAGCAGGGAGGGAGAGTTCCAGATCTATCTCGGTATTTCTGACCTGTAGTAGAGGCAGCCCAGAAAGGTGTTTTGGTTATAGTGTCCCTCTGGGGAGTCAGGCCTTTCTTGAGTTGGCCTGGAGTCTGTTTCACTTTGGGACTCAATCTGAAAAGACTTGAATTCTCAAATTTATTTTAAAAAGTGGACGTCCTGAGATCCCTTGGTCTCATGGATCCCCCATTGTGGGCCAGCTATGTGCCAAATGCTCTGAGCTGATCATGATAATAGAGAAGATAAAGCCCTTATGACCTCTTTTACCATCTCGGAATCCAAATATAATCATCTCTTTAACTTTTTCAGTTAACTGCTCTACCCTATATGCCTTCATTAGCAGAAAGTCCAATATCTCTCTCCCCTGAGTTATTTAAGAATTCAAAACATTTCCTCAATCCAGAAGGTTATAACTCACTTCCAAAAGCCAAGTTGAGAGAAAAATCAATCCAAAGTTTCTTTGTTTGCTTCTGTCATCCTGTGTCCCTGCTGCTCCTTTACAGTCTGCTGGGCTTGTCTCCTGCTGAGGTAACACTATCGCTGGTCCAGATCCTGCCCTGGCCGCGTGATGCACCAAGGCTTGCCTTCAGGGTTCAGCTCCTCGGCTCTCTTGGTGCGCACTCCATGTGTTCTGTCATTGCTTCCCAGTGGCATCCACAGAAAGCTTTGCTGGCCCCACCCTTTGACGACAGCCCTTCTCGTATGGCAGTGCTTCTCTGGGGCTCTTCATCTTCTTTCCTGCCAGCAGATCTCAGTGAGCACCATCCCAATCCACTTAAGATCCAATAACCTTGAACCTCAAAGAGGAAAGTGTCAGAGCCCCTTTCCTTTCCTCTTCCTAGGGCTGCCTCCTTGCACAACTCCAGGGGCACCATCCGTATTGTATTCAGAAGGAGTGGTATCCCTGGGAGCACATCATCAGAGTATATACATCCATCACACTAGACTGTAATACAGATGGTGCCCCCTGGAGTTGTGAACTGCGCACTAACCCCCTACGCCAGCTTTCTCCAAGGGGAATGGGAAAGAACAGATATTTCAAGACTAAGACATTCTATTATTCCCTCCTTCCAAGAAGTAGTAGGTCTCTTGTAGTTGCATAAATAAAAACAGTCATTCATGTGACTCCTGCAAAACAAATGAGATCGGCTTCAAGATGATTCTCTGAAGCTTTTTTTTTAAAATATGCTTTAAATAAGCTATGATTTCTGTTCCCCCAGGCACCCCGTTACATAAATAATAGTAGCTATCCTTTATTCAGCTGATAGGGCACGGATGCTTTACATGCATTATCTCATCTTGTAGAAGAATTCCGAGCCTAATAATGGAGCTAAAATGTACAGAAATTATAGTCTAAGGTAGAATATGAAAAAAATTACATGAGTGAGGTAAGTGCAAATCATCGAGAGAGCTCAGCGAAGGGAGGGATTATTTCCAGCTGGGGAAGCTCATTCCATCCACATTCGGCACACAATTATCGCGTGCCTCTTATATCCTGGTCTTGAGAGTCTCACAGACCATGGGGGAAAGGAGAAGGAAACAGAGCATCTGGACAGTGTGATATCATTTGATAACTGCAATCTGGCCATCAGGGCAGACTCCTCGGAAGAGGAGGCACGTGAGCTACAAGCACTGAAGGTTTGGGGGCCTTCTGAACAGACAAGGTTGGGGATCCCTGATATCCCAGGGTTGCACCTGGATTTCATTACAACCCCATCTTCTAGAATAGAAAGTGAAACAAGCGGTTGTTAACTTCCCCATTCAATTCTCCTCCGAGGCCCTAATTTTGAAGCCTTTAATGGTAACCAGTCCTTCCACTGTGCAACTGGCTTTTCTCCCACTGAAGATTGTGCTGCACTTTTCCCCACTTAACTCCGTTCAGTTGGTGACCTCCTTTCCAATTTACCAATTCTGATTCACATCCTCCATCTTTTCTCCCACTGAGAAGAAACAGCCAACTTTTGGATTTCCAAGCCTCCTGGAAAAAGGCCAAAGTTCCATAAACTCTAGAATATTATTGTGTGAGTTAAAATATTCACATGGTATCAACCGTGCAGTTACTCCAATGTTTATTTTGGAAAATATTACGTTTGGAAAATGGGAAGTATTCCAGGGCATTTTCTTACCTTGAAATATCAGTAGACACAAGGGTATTTTGAGACCATTTTTTTGCTCAAAAGTTAGCAAACAATCTGTACAATTAGACACGTAAAATTGCCTTAAATAACGTTAGTTAAGGGCTCTGGGGCTTAAAAAATGCCCATAGAATATTTGTGGAGAAATGTGGGGCAAAAGGCTGCAGTTCTAACTCACTGAAGCAACTTTCAAAATGCCTTTGAGTTAAATCCTAGTTGGCGCTTACTGAACACTTCTCTTCCAATGACTGACGACTAGACCTTGCTCAGGTGCACAGTTTCCAAGGGCTTGCGTACTTCAAACTCCATCCCTCCGGCTACAGGAGGCAATGCAGGCTACAGCCCCAGTGGGACCTACAGCTAAACCCAAGGGTCTGAGGGGCCTGTTTACCTTTCCCTCTCTCTCCCCTTCTCCCCACGTGTTTCCCCTCGGCGTGGTGATGCCGTGCAAAAGCCACAAGAGAAGGGTGTCAGTACGTCAGCTGCCCCAGGGAGCTCTTCCTGACGCATCTCTGTCTTTAATGTGGTGCAGTTCCCGGTGACTGTGATACGTTTGCAGGGTGAGGCTGGAGGGCCGAGGGGAGACAAAGCCTGGAGTGATGGCTGGTTGCAGTCCTTTTCGTGTGTTTTCTCAAGCTTTGAAACTTATAATACCTGAAACTCAACATTGTCTATGATCGCATTTATGAGAGAGAAAACACAACGCATATGTGCGCGAGTGTATGTGTGTGTAAATGAATAAAGAAAAAGTGGGACATACACTAACAGACAGCAATAGTTAGCTCTGGGAAAGGAAGTGCCATTAGATAGGTGTAGGTGATTTACGCGTATCACTGTTTTTCCATTAACAATTTATTCCAATTTATAAAGAAAAATGATTTAAATTTTTAAAAAATTTAGAAGAATTAAATAGTTTGATGTACTATTTTAGAAAGCTAGCTAAAACATGTTAAGTTAAAATAGCAAGTTTAAAGTGGTAAGTATCATAAGTTCGATTTAGGGGAAAAATGGAAATAGCCCCACACATAATTGGTAGTATATGCATAGAAAGGAAAAACAAAAGAGGAAAAAACAATAAATTATTGTAGTGATTATTTTGGGGAGATGGAATACTTCTGGGAGATGGAGATGGAGACGGGGATTTTAACTTTCTACACTGTGTAGTTTTGAGAATATTTACATTTTTAAATATTAGCATGTGTTGATTTTTCTAGCACACAAATTGACTGAGCAGTATTATACCCTTGTTTACTTGATATTGCCCTCAAAAGACTGCCTGGCTGGCATAAATGGACCAACATGTAACACCACATTGACAGATCTGAACAGCAAACTCACATCCCAACCCAAATGGTAAGGTTCGTGGGAGGTTCTCATGTTTAATAAGGTCCTACTTTTCATACCTGTACCTGCCTCAGACAAGCAGTTCCTTCTGCTGCAAGCTCCCTTCTTCCTCTTCTTCTCCTGGTAAACTCCTATTCGTCCTTTAAAACACAGCTCAACCATTAATTTTCCCCAACTCCCCAAATAGAATTAGTGATTTCTACTTTGCATTTCCACATACCTCTGTTTCCACAAGTTATTTTGTGTATTCTAGGACTGTTTTCCAACCCGTCTCCTCTTCTGAATTGTTAGCTCCTCAGAATAGGAATAGTATCTTCTTATTTTTTTAAATATATCTGTCTCAGGGCTTAATATCGTGAGCAATACTTAGTAAGTGTTACATTAAAATGGTTTGCTTCCTTAGCATGCCCTAGTGTAAGAGTTTTAAATCCAGAGGACCCCAAACATGGCTATGATCACAATCTCCTGGGGGAGCACTTACAAACACAGGTACTGACACCCAACTAGAGCTATTCTCAACTCGGATCTCCCAGACAGTTCTTCTGCTTCCTCTCCCCACTCCCCTTCCCATTGTTTTCCTTCCTGAACAATTCAGTCCAAAGCCATTAACTGGCTCTGAACAAAGTAGGCATCCCACATGATGGTGGGGGGATGGAGACCCAGCACAGGGCGGGTGACAAAGCCCAAGCTGGGTGAGGAGGGTGTCTGGGTGGGAGGGTGACGTGGCTTGGATGTCAGAGCCTGGGCAGAGCGACGGGGGCATTTACACAGCAGGGGGTGCAGAGGTGGCCTGGGATGGAGTGTCAGAGCCTGAATCAGAAGGGTGTCCCCATGAGATGTTCAAGCAAGATGAAGGGTGTCTCATTGTAGCATTTTTCTGCTTAGACGGAGCATCAGTGCCCCAGAGGGGTAAGGAGAGTATCTCCATGGGTGTTAGGGGACTAGGGTGAGAAAAGATTTAGAAAATAAGTAAATTTATCAATGGCAAGTCCCTTACTGTCAGAGAATTACAAATACGGAACAGGAGAAAACTAGAATGAATATTATGTCAGATTAGAATTGGAGACTCTCATGGTTTCCAACATAGAAATAGATACAGAAATAAATACAGGTGTAAATAGTGTGAATTATAAATATGTATGAATTAATTTTTCTTTTATCTATCTATCTATCCATCCATCCATCTAATACTTAGCTGTTTACTCAAAGTGCTTGGGAGCAGCAACACACAAGGAGCAAAGAGCATGTTTAGCCTCTCGATTTCTAAAAGGAACCGAGTTCTTTGCAGGCTCGACTGATTCCAGTGCTGTGACAGTGAAAGTAAAAAAATGAACCTTGATATCTTGTGCCAAAAAAAACAGGAGTGCTCAAAGGATAACAGGGACATGTCTGAGGAGGACATGAGCCAGCTTGAAGAAGATCCCACTGGCCATAGCTGGGACAATCTGAGCATCAAAATAAGTAATGATAGTAGTGGGTTATAACCCACTGGATAAAACTGGAATCTATGAGTATATCGTGGTATAAATTAATAAATGAATAATTTTAAATTTTGATGAAGAATCAGATATTTACATAATCTTGAGGTTCTCTCTCATAAAAAAAAAATTAGTAATTACAAAAGTAGAAGAATGACTTCCTAGTGGACAGCCTGGCAGATAGCACCTTAAACAAATGATCAAAGTGCCCATACTGGTAATGGGACAAATCGAAAGTATACCAACTGATAGGATGTGATGAGAAGACCATGACATCACTTCTATGAAATTTCTTCCTAATTATGAGAAAACTTCAGACAAGCAATTTGAAGGTCATTCTACAAAATAGATGGACTGTAATTTTGAAATGTCAAGGTTGTAAAAATCAAGGAGAGACTGAGAAACTGTTTTCAGTGTAAGAGGCATGACATAAGTACAATACATAATTCCCTGCTCTTTTACTTTAAGGACAATTTTTGAGAACAATTTGCAAAACTTGACTGGGGTCTGAGGAGTAGAGGATGGTGACATATTGATGCTAATTTTCCTTATTTTGATGGGTTTTCTTTGGCGATATAATAGAATGTCCTTGCTTGTGGGAAATACTAAAGGATTTGGGAGTGCTAGGACTCCATGTCAACAACTAAGACTTAATTCAGAAAAAAGAAGTTATTTGTACTCTTCTTGCAACTTTGCTGTAAGTTTGAGACTATTTCAACTAAAAAGTGAAAAGAAAATTCCCACAGAGGTCCAAGGCATCTCTGCTGGAGCAAAAGCTTCCCCGGTGATTCCAGCTTTCTATGTTGGAAACTACTGGGTTAAACACTGTGAGTGGATCCTTATTAACTTGGATGTTCCTTCTTCACGTGGGCTTCTTTGTCCTATAAGAGTGCTTGGGAAAAATATAGAGTCCTAGGTCCAACCTGAAGCCCTCTGGATCAGAATTTAAGAAAGTAAAGCCTGGATAGTTTTATTTCTGATAAGTAGCCCTTAGGATCAGAGAAGTTTGGGAAACATTAAAATTCATCATAGAGATCATTGAACCTTTTGTCCAAGGCATGCAGGTATGTCAGTTATTATCAAAATAATGAATGATATCTGTGCACCAAGGAAGAGTAGGTGGCCAGAGCAAGCTTTCTAAATCCCAAGGAAGGGCCTTTGGTGTCCAGGGGTCAACAGAAAACTGCTGTCAGGAGAGTGATGGCCCTGGAGATTGCCTACATAGTCACTTTAGCTGAGAGCATTAAAGGGTCTGTTGTCTGAGAGAGGAATGAAAATAGCACTGCAGTATTTTTACGGTTGAACAGGAAAGTCGGCTGGCCTCTGGTGGGACCCCAGGACTGGAAGAGCAGTGGTTTTGCAGTCTGAGTGCTGTGATGACGTGATTGGTGCTGGGGCTGGAAGAATAGTTGTGTGTGATAGAAAGGACTGAGCACTAAATGCCGCAGACTGGGAGATCCAGTGAGGGCCATTCTCTGTTGATCGGGAGAATGGAGTCTCTCATGAAGTCACCCTCCATGAAGCTACCATGCCGGCCTGTGCAGTGAGCTGGACCAGCATCTGGTAGTGCCTGGTC